GACTCCTGACTCAGGGGGCCTCCGAGGGAGGGGAAGAGAGTGACTCCTGCCTCCCGCTGTCATCTTCTTCTTCTTCTTTTGGGTTAGTGAATCAATTAAACCTTTCATGATAGTGAGATCGTTTCCCAAATTAATTATTTTTATTTTTGAAATTTACCAGTAGCTGCTGCATTTCCCACCCTCGGCTTATACTCGAGTCAATAAGTTTTCCCAGTTTTTTTGTGTAAAATTAGGTGCCTCGGCTTATATTCGGGTCGACTTATACTCGAGTATATACGGTAAATAAGAAAGAGGATTTTAGTGACAAAAATATATAAAAAATACAGTCTGGATTTTTTCTTCTAGTGATTTGACCTGAAATCTTCAGTAAGGCTGGAAAAGTATATTGTAGGAAATATGAATATTATAGAAATAGGGTGGGATTTTGGGTTTGGTGTCATGGCGATATGGTTGAGAGAGAGCTGAGCTCTGCTTTCCATGATTGGTTTCACCCCGCAAGAAGCCCCCAATGGGATGAAGGTTATCCCACAGAGGTGACAATAAATGGGGGGATCCTGTGGATCACAAGCAGATGGTGGTAACTCGTTTGATCCGGGAAAAGCCTCCAAACTGTCAGGAGAAAGGGCTGGCTGTACTTGTGTAGCAACCTGAAGCCACTGACAGCAGGAAAAGGAAAGTTCTTGGTGCTGTTGAAGCACCAATAAAAAGATTATCAACACTGTGCTCTGAAACTGGGTAAGACAACTTTTTCTCTATCTCTTTGAAATATAACTCCTGGAGCAGATAAATCCCAAAAAGAAAAAGATGCGACTGGAAGAAGGGGGAAATATAACCCCTCTCACCAGAGGAAATGGCAGCCAAACAAATCCCCCCCCCCAAAACAGAAACTAAAATAGAAAACCAGAACAAACATAAAAGAAAAAACTCTATATGGCAAACATTGAGGACTTAAAGATTTTTAAAAGCTTCTGAGAGCATAGATGGCTCAAAATAACTAACTAAAGAACACTAACGAACTTATTTGTGTTACAGATCCCTGAAGAATTAATTGAGGGAGAGTGACATCTTGTGGCAAAGTGGAGAAAATTGTTGAAATGTCCTACATGTAAACAGATGTGGCTTGAAGACATAAATATCTGGTGGTGTCCTATCAACTGAGCAAGGCACAGCTGGCAAATAGAGAAAACAAAGGTGTTTCACTGTTCATTGTTTAACGGGATTTATTTGTTTGGACTAGTTAAAGCAGACAGGCTGTTGTGGATTACAAACATTGATTGACTTGGATTTATTGATTGGACAAGACAAGCTGGTTACACAGGATTTGGATTTTGGATTAAAAACATAGGCAGAACTGTAATTCTGATTGGGAGCTGGATTACTTTGGTGGATTCGAATACTGGATTATTGGAATTTGCTAGATTATAAAGTTTATAGACAAATGAAGTGTATAAATTGTATAATTAAAAGCTGAAAGTTTTAAGATATAATTTAAATTGCTTTCTGATAAGTTGAATAAGACATGGATAGAAGTGAATATTATGCTAACATCAAAACAGGATGTAGACCCGACACAGATAAAAAAATATAGACCAATATCTTTATTAAATGTGGACTACAAAATCTTTGCTTTAATAATAGCAGAAAGACCGATTTTTTTTAACTATTTGGACTTTCAAATAGTTAAGAAAGTTAAGTATTTGGGAATATACTTAACAGCAAGATGTGCAACGATAAAAGAAGACAATTATATAAAATTACTTCAGCAAATAAAATTAGATTTGGAAAAATGGAAAAACCTACATTTATCAATGTTAGGAAGGATTGCCATGATAAAAAGAAATATCCTACCAAAATTGCTTTTCCTGTTCCAAACAGTACCTACAATAATTAAAAAGAAATTATTTTATGATTTGAACAAATTGATTCTGAAATTTATTTGGCATGGGAAAAAAGCAAGAATAAAATTGAAAATGCTACAAGAATCTACCAGATTGGTTTCTATATTACCAAGCATTTGTGGTAACATGGTTAAAAGAATGGATAACGCTTAGGCACAAAGACTATTATATTTAGAAGGACATGATTTACAAATAGGATGGCATACCTTCTTATGGTATGAGAAGAATAAAATCCATACTTTCAAAATCACTATATGAGAAACTCACTAATATCTGTATGGGAAAAAATAAAACCTAAAATACACTTGAAAATTCCAGAATGGCTTTCAACGACGGAAGCCTTCACATACCCAAATCTGGTGAAGTTTGAAAAAAATGTGACATATAAAGATATTTTGGACATTGAAGGGAAATTAAAATCGAAGCAAGAGCTTGAAGACCAGGGCATTATACATGTAGTATCATGGTGGCGTCAATTGCCAATACAATGTAGATATGATATAGATATGAAAAAGTATGGCTTTTATACAGGACAAAAACACCTTTTGATAAGACACTGTTGAACTCTGATGAAAAACTAATTAAGAAGGTATATAACTTCTTACTAAATGTAAAAATGGAGAATGAACAAATAAAAGATACAATGATACAATAGGAAAAATATTTTGGCTATAACAGAATTAGAGAAATGGTAAAATTTATGGAGAAAGAACTATAGATTAACAATGGCAATTTTTTATAAAGAAAATTTATATAAAATGTTTTATAGATGGCATTTACCACATGCTAGGTTAGCTAATATGTTTAAAAATATGTCTAGAAAATGTTGGAAATATAATTAAAAAACAAGCAAATTTTATCATATGTGGTGGACTTGTGTTAAAACAAAACAAATTTGGGCAAAAATACACAGATGGCTAGAAAAGATAATAGGGAAACATGTAGATTTTAAACCTGAACTGTTTTTATTAGGGATGATATCAGAAAAATTTGATAAGAAAAATATGTATTTAATATTACATGTCTTAACAGCAGTGAGGATTATCTTTGCACAATATTGGAAAAATGAAGAAACACTGCAAGATGAAGAGATAATTAAGAAGATATTAGATTGTGAAGAAATAGATAGACTTTCATTGAAAATTAAACAGAAAGAAGACACTGAATATTATCAAACATGGAATTTATTTTACAGTGGTTGGAAAAAAGGGGTGGAGAATAAGAATAGAATCTGTATTACTAAGCAAATTAAATACCCAGACAACACGATGTTTATTAAGCACTAAGAAATGTAATTAATAGAAAATTAATACAATTTATTAAAAAGAAAAAAAGAAATAGGGTGGGAAAAGTAAATGATGGAATATCAGAAGTCATGTTGATCTTATATTTGCATAAATGTTTCTCTAAAAAATAAAAGTGCCCTTAAATCAATGTAAATTATAACTGGGTTGAAGGAAGAGAATTGTGATGTCCAACTGAAAAAACAACTCCTTAAAAGTAGAAGAATCAAGGATAGTTAATTTTATGGCCTATGAAAAGAGAATTTCACAATAATAAAAATCCCAATGCCTTTGGCTCTTTTTAGGAAACATCTTTTTTGTTTCCAGCTTTTTTTTTTTCATTGCACACAGAAATTGAAAAAAATGAAATAACCTTTAGTGTGTGTGGTTGAGGTTGAGATAGTGCAAAAACTTTTTCAGCTATGGCCTGGTTCATGACTTTATTTCTCGACATAGCTATATCGTGAACCAGTATTTTTAGTTTTAAAGAGCTAATGATATAATAATTCTAGGCTTGACAAACACAGGCGCGGCTTCCTAGGGCAGGGAATTTTTCCACATGAAAATCCCACCTGGCTACATTTTCCATTTAAATTACACAATCATATGGGTGCGACATTTAAATCTGAGCCATGAGACACCATCTAATCAAAAGCAACTCCCACGCAACCTGCACTTGTCTTTACAGCATCTCAATTATAGAAAATGTGCAAAATTGTACTTCCTCTTTATTGAAAGATAGGAAATATTAACAGATGAAATTTGAGAAGAATCACATTTTTTTTAATTTGGGGAAGATTTATTTTACAAAAAAATAATTTTTAAGATAACAACTCCTGTTTTTAATTTAAATCTTTTCCTGATTTATGTACATGTGAAGAGAATTATGAGAAGTTATATAAGGAGCAGATATTATCTAGGTGGATATGGAATTGTCTGCAAATAAAAAACCAAGCTCAAAGAAGTTTTAAAACCCAAGATTCTAACGCTTAGCTGGATATATTTTATACAGGTGTGTTACACATTATAGTCCAGCGGGGATATTAATTATTACAATATATTTTGATTATTACAATATATTTTGATTATACTGTTAAGTGTATTGTGGACAAGTTTATCTTGATTATATATAGAAAAAAATTCCTTTGCTCTTGCCACTGTCATGTGTTGCATAAAGTTCAATAATCAAATACTAAAGAATATGTGTGCCAATCTAAGTTGTGGGAAGTCCATCACTGGAAGTTTTTAAGAAGATACTGGATGGCTATTTGTTTGGAATGATATTGGTACAGGGTTTCCTGCTTGAGCAGGAAGTTGGACTAGAGGACCTCCAAGGTCCCTTTCAACTGTTATTCTGTTATCTGTTAAGTTGTCCTTCAGATATCCTGAAATTCTCACTTCTTAACTTTGGCCATAAATATTTTTGTCCTGCCTCTAAAGCTATACATAAAACCTCTCTTGAAGTGGATTATATATTATTTTATTTGTAAACTGCCCAAAATCATTTAGACAAGAAGGGTGGTATAGAAGTTTGATAAATAAATAAAAATCTTAAACTAATGATAAAGTAAATATCACAAGTAAACATCTGTAAACAATCCTATTTAGAGACAAGATAAAAATCAGCAATAATTTAAAAGACTTTCATTTAGAAGTTGTCATAACTTCAAATTAAGTAAAAATTGAAAAGATTAATATGGTTCTTAAACAGGAGGGCTGAATTTTCTTTTAGAAGTTCTGAAATGATAGGCTTAGAGTTAAGGTCACCAAGAAGGTTCATTTTTTATGTCCATCAACCAGTTGAACTCAACAGTAATCCTTGAGCAAAACATCAGAGTTTGATCTAAATTATTGTGCTGATTCAGATGGATGAAAGTACTTCATAAGTACTTCATATTCTCAACAGGTCCACTAGGAAATAGATGCTGTTGAACTGAATGATATTTTTTTCTCAGTTATGTTTATATATTATATTTTTAATTCTAAAAGTTAATGTAATTCAGTGATGCACAATCACTTTTTTATTTTTTTGAAAACGTTATCTTCTTTACACATAGTAAATTATGTATGCTGAAGAGGCACTAATGCTGTCACTTTGCTCTTTTGTTCATTTCAATAGGAGCTTCTCTCTTTTACTTTGTGAATACTACAAACTGGATACTACAAACTGTTGCTTCCTCATAATTTTTGGTGTGATCGCATTTTATTTTCAGCTGAACTGGCAATGAGACAGAACCACTAGATAGCTCAAGACCACGGCTTTCAATAATAAGTAATACTGAAACCAAAATTTCATGACAAACTTACCTTCTTCTCAGACAAATTGTGGTCTAACTCATTTTCAGAATCCTCCTCACTTTGCTGTTGCTGCTGCTGCTGCTGCTGCTGCATATCCTTCATCTTGATCAGAAGTTCTGCCTTGGGTGCAGAGGTGCTGTAGTAAGTGGAATTAGTTGTTAAGGGAATGGCCAAAGACAGAGGCAGCTCCTCTTTCCTAAGCAAAGATTTAAAAAAAAATACTAGTTTTCAACAGACTTCTTGAAATGTTTATGCACTGAAAGCAAGATAATAATTACTTTGAAATACTATTTGCAGTACATAGATTGTAGGGTTAAGAGAAAGATACCCACAGAAACAATGGATAAAATAACCATATTATTTTATCACTCTTAAGAATCTAGCTAGAGACAGGAAATTAAAGGAATGTCTCAAAATTATGGCCTAAAGTGCTGATTTCTATTTTGCTTCTAATTGATGTTCTCTGACCATATTTAGATTTCTATGCCCTATCCTTGATTACATGGGCAATGGAAGAAAGGTAATATTTAAATCTGTTTGTGGCTTTCATTAGCCTTGATTATCTCATTCCATAAGCACACATTTAGTAAATATATAGGTTCTTGGGTTTCATTATCTGCAGTTCTAATGCTTAAAAGAACCTATTGCTAAAAATAGCTTTCTCTTAACACTAGAAAAATTAAGATTCAAATCAGTTTACTGATAGCAAATATATTGTACATTTAGGATCAATTATTTTGGAAAATAATTCAATTAAAGAAGGTTTATTTTTCCTTCAAATAAACAGTAAAGAACCAATGATGTCTACCATGGGTCAAAACTGGCAAGATGATGTTCATGTTATTCAACCTAAACCCTGCTTCTTTTAGAGGTCAATGCACACATAATCACATACATGCATACATAGAGTACAAAAAGACAAGCCATGGACTATAATACTGAAACCCATATATTGCATGGTGGGTGCCAATGAGAGGAATGATAGAGAATCAATCTGAGAAAGGCCTTCACAAAATTCAACATTTTCTATCATATATCACTGCAAAAAAGTAATCAACATTGTTTCATTCCTCAACATAATAGACACTCTATTAAGAGGAACAAAATTTGAATATCTAATATATAAATAGCTCTTTGTCTCTCTTTTTGGCATGAAGAACCAAACAACCACTTGCTTGGAAATAAGACTCCATTTGTGTATGTGTGTGTGTGTGTGTTTATGAGAATATTATATTTTCATTTTCTATCTCCCATTAATTTTCAGTTAGATGTTTGCAATTTCTTATGATTATCCTCCAAAAATCTAGAGAAATATCCAAATTGATATTTTTGGCAAAGCTCAATAGTATATATAAAATATTTTATATACTTTTTGAATGTTTACTAAGTTTTACAAACAGTTACTGAAAGATTTAAGAACTCCTCTGTTACTGTATGAGAAAATGTTGTCATAAGGCTAAGTAACCCTTATTTATGGTGAATCAGACTATAATTTATTAGAATATTTACTAGGATGCATTGTTTTTTATTTTATTTATTGCAATTATACCAAGCTTTTTCTTCTGACAACTCAAGATTACATATATGGAAGTTCTCTCTCATTCTACTCTGCAACAGGTTTGAAAGGTAAGTTGGTCTAAAACAGAGGCTCACCCAAAGCCATTCACTGATCTGAGTCAGCGCCTGCCATATCCAACTCTCATCAACACACTGTATTACTGCTAATCCAATTTGCCCACTCTTAATAAGACCTACTGCCTTTCTCAGATTGCTCAGAAATGTAGATATTGGTGTTGCTGGTAACTTGTAATTAATTATAGTACAAAATTACTGTTCTGTGAAGTAACTCTTATTTGCTTTGAAAGATAACATTTATAATAAAACACTAGGAAGTAATGAAAACAATTCTTATCCAGCAAGGCACAGTAAATCTGTCAACAACAAGCATATATAATAGTGAAATGAAACCTCCACAATCATTAAGTATTTATAAGTTTTTAATAAACCACTAGGAAAAATGGGGATTCAACTCTGGTGTATTTCAGTATTTGTGAAGCTGCTGTTTTTCAAAACAAGTTAGAATCTAAATCCCAACCAAAACTGGGTGTGCACTGGAAGAAAGTTACAGTAGTTATGTTTGCTATGTTTATTTTGATAATATAACTTGTATTTTAATAGAACAAAACTTAAAATAGAGTGTGTGAACATATAAGATTAAAAAAAGATAAAAAGATAAATTAATTTGTATTGGAAAAATATGTACTTACTTTTCCTCTTCAGTTTTGGGTGCTGAAATCTTTAAAAGAAATTTTCTGCGATGTTGTGCTTCTTCTAAGAGATGTTCATCTTTGGGAAAGATTCCCTCCATTAAATCCATTGTGGTTTTTATTTTCACATTTGGGTCTAAAATTTCTGCTAATGATTTATCTTTATCTACTATTTCTCTAGCTAATTCTTCTGATTTCCAGTCCTCAATTGTCTTTTCTTTGGCTCTCACATAGTTAACTGCATGGGTGGATATGTCATTCTCTTTTATGTTCCTCCCAAAGCTTTCAATAGGTTGCAAAGACGACAGGTTTGATTTGTTCTCAAGCTCAATTTCCACACCTTGTCTCGTATAAGCACAAAAACGTGAATAGGACTGTTCAGAAGTGCTAAGTGTCTTGATTTGGTCTTTTTCTAAGCCACTTGGTAAAGTAGGAGGCTCTATTGTGGTCCCAAGATTCTGTCTGCTTGTCTTCTCTGAATGGCTCTCAGAATGTACAATCTTGATTGGAACCATTTTTACGGTTGTATTGTTATCCATCACTCTTTCAATTCTTCAGAAAAAAATGTAAAAAAGCACATTACATATATTATATAAACACTAGTTGAATGATACAGATTAATAGCCTATTTATGAATGGGTAACTTATCACATTTTATCTTTCACATTTCCATTATATTTTAAATATCCTTATTTAACTGAGCACTAGCCATTGTTACTAAAGTTATAAAATGTACAAAGAAGTGGACTTGAATAAAATTTCAAAGATATCTAACATGCTTTCTCCTTTTAAAAAAGATGAACAAAAATATTAAGCCTAAATGTGCTGACTGATCCTACATACAGTATACTGATATGAAGAAACTTCTACTTTGTTCAATGACAATTCTTTCCAATAATGTGCAAATTACTATTGTAATCTAAACAAGGTTCTCATTGTTTATAACAGGGGTCCCCAAGCTTGGCAACTTTAAGACATGTGGACTTCAACTCCCAGAATTCTGGGAGTTGAAGTCCACAAGTTTAAAGCTGCCAAGTTTGGAGACCTCTGGTTTATAACAATGTTTTCTAAAATTTAAGCTATGTTCATTATATATAGGTGAAAAAATTGAACAGCAATTTATAAATCAGTATGAAACTTGAATTGGCATATGAAACATAACATCTGATAAATCTGTAACTATGACTAATGAAGATTACTTCACTTAAGGCATTTATTATACATAGTCCTTACTTAAAGCCCATAATTGGGACTAGAATTTCTATCACTAAGTGATACAGTCATAAAGAATGACATCATGTGATTCCATTGTTTAGCAAAGGCAATCCAGGCAGCCCCCACTGTTGTTGTTAAGCAAAGATCAGGTCATTAAGCAGAGACCTCACATGATTGTGATTCATGACTTCTTGACAGCTTCTACAAGCAAAGTCAATGAGGAAACTGGCAGGAAGTTGCAAGTTTTTGTCATCTTGCAAACAGGCCAACAGATGGGTAAGTGCTACAGGGTCTGGAAAGGCAAGGAGTGGCTGCCAAGGTGCAGCAGGAACATGGCCAGATGGAAAGGTGGCTGCTATGGGGGCAGGAGGACACACCGTTAATTAGCATGCGTGGGCAAAGAGGAGCGATTGCTACAGCCTACCATAAACATGGCCAGCTATGCCTTCACTGTGGAGTACAGGCAGGGGCTATTGTAGGCATGTGCAAACTATGTAGTACAAAGTCCCTGGGATTTTGTACTGTTGAGTTCAAGCTCCTCAGGAAAAAAAAAAGGAAGGAGCAGGAGCAACTTGCCACATTCCTTGTCACCCTCCCCATCGACTTACTTGTGGAAAGCCCACCGGAAAGGTCACAAATGGTGATCTTGTGACCATAGGATACTACATCTATTGTAAATGCAAGCCAGTTGCCACGTGCACAGATTGTGATTGCATAACTGCTGGGGTGCCGGGGCAGCTACAGTGAGTGTATTGGGGATTTTGACTTGGATCTTCCCAGATACATCTATTTTCTTTATTGGCTTTACAAAATGTGAATAATATGGTCCATTTGTATTGTTCACAAATTAAAATTCAGTGTGCACGTTTTTGAAGGGCAACAAATCAGGAGCTCTATACCTTTATATAAAATCCTGCTAACTTGTACCAGTGAAAAGCTAATTTTCTTGGCAGTTGTTTTATTTGTTTTGATGTTAAATATCATTTATTGTTAGCTATAATGGGAAAGAAATTGTTGTATTATATGCTTTTTTTAATGCTGATCAGCCTACCAAGGGAACAGAAATGTTTAGAAACCGTCTAAGGCCGTCTTTGTTTCATTTTAGGAAGTCCTGTTTTGCTGGCAATAAAACTAAGTCCAAAGAACTGTCATTGGAATATAGGGTTCCCTGGAGTCACCCTCATCTTCTATCGTAGAAATACAGTTGTTCACTTAGAGAAGTTAGATCTAGAAATTAATATTGTTTTGCTAATTATTCTGGCAACATTTATATCCGTTTTCAACCATTCATAAAACTAACTTTCAGATTTCCATAGTGAGAAAGGTATGAACTTTTGGTTTGAAAACATCCAAATAGTCCATATTGTGGCCCGCCAGCAGCCAGCAGAGCTGGCAACAGACTCGGACAGCGAGGAGGTTGGGGAGGAACATGGGCCAGTCCTGGACTTTGGGGAAGGCTCTGATGAATGCCCTGCATCAGAGGCAGAGATGGGGCCAGGGCCATCTGATAGTTAAAAGCTGCCTTTGGATCGCAGGTCAGTGGGGCAGAAGAACAGCTGGTGCCTATTCCTGATGTGTGCATGCGCAGAGCTATCTGGAGAAGGGAACAGTTAAGGATCAAGGGGCGACTCGGGAGTAAAGGCACAGGTGGATGGTGAATGGCCCCTCCCGCAGGGAATAAATAGGAGCGAAAAGGGAGTGGTGTTCGCAGGAGACAATTAGTTCATTTAATTAGTGTGAAGATCTAAGTTCTTGACTCCCAGAGACTCCTTGCCAAGTATTTCCTTGTACAGCGTTGGGCTTGGAAGCTATCAGCCTGGCAACTCTCCAAGCCTGATAAGGTCTGTGGCTGCAATTCACCCTTGAAAGACTGTTTGCCAGGACTTTGCTGGATGTGAATGATAGGAATTCACATTAGTCAAATAAAAAGGGGTTTTGTCAGGATAAGGAGTCTGTCTCGTGATTTGGTGAAGCCTAAGTCAGAACAGTACAGGGCTGTCAAACTCCTGGCCCATGGGCCAGATGTGTCACATGCTGGCCACACCCATGCCCAGTTTAGCAAAAGGGGAAAAAGTCCTGATATCTCACATGACACCACTGTGACGCCTTGAGTTTGACACCCCTGTAATAGTATATATAAGACTGGATACATGCATTCTGTTTTCTTTGGATTTTATTAACATGGCCATATGTATTATACACAAAATAGTCCTTGGAAAATAAGTTTTAGGATAATAGTGGAACATGCAATCACAGCATATGCTCCTATCTTGTGCTTTCTTATTCTTTAATTAGTCTTAAAATCATTGGATGTCTAGCCTTATTTTCAAGACTCGTTAATGAGGTTCACTTGTATATTAAGCATGTTGCACTGAACTCAGTTTAAAAGCTGAAATAAATTGTATATAATTTCTATTGAGTTAAAATAATACGATTCTAAAACTCTCTAGAAAACTTAACATTAAACTGCTAAAACCATGTAGTGATAGTGCCTGGAAACCTAATATTAAATTGGTGAACCAATCCAACAATAAAATATGTGACAAATGTTTAACAGTTTGTGTAAGGAGGCTTACCTTGTGGAATTTTCATCCTGAGCAGGCACAGGTGGCTTATCAGTCAGCTTTGGTGGAGCAAATTGTGGTGAAGGGGATCTTGATGCTTCCATTCTAGCTTTTAGATGGTAACGATAAGCTGAAGGAAGGGGAGGTTCAGATTTGAGATGTCTTTTTTCTTCTAAATGCTGAAAAACATTTTCTGTTGATGCCAACTGCCCAGACTCTGCACTTATAAATTTTCCAGAATTTTTTGTGGGAACCTGAGGTGGTGATGATCTGCCTATAGCTATATTGGTAGCAGCAGGGGAAGACTGATCTGATCTGTTGGGTACAGTCAGTAAAGATTCTGAAGCAAGTGAAGCTGAAAAACTATCCTGTCGCCTGTGTTTCTTATCTTGTTTGGGTGCGGGTGGCCTCTGAGGAAAACAGCCATGTTTCTTATTCAGCAGTATAGAATTCCCCTGTAGATTTTCTTCTGCTTTGACATGTGTTAAACAGTGCTGATTCTTATCTGATATTTGTAGTCCAGAAATCATAAGAGGCAAAGCACCATAATCTTTGCTTTTCTCATTTAGATTTTCCTGTGAGTATCTGTAATCACTGGGCAATGTCCCAGATCTACCTCGGCTCTGCTGTGATGTAATTGTGGCAGGTTCTGCATGAAAGGACCTTGCAGATGCTTTCCACTTGTTTCCTGAACTGCAGTCCTCCTGAGCTGTGAGTTCTCTCAGAAAATCTTCTGGATACTCTTTATCAGATGATCTGGAAAAAGTAAGGGATGGGAGAATTATTTGAGCATCAGTAAGCAGGGTACAGTTAAAAAATATATTTCTATTATTCAATTATATCTAAGCTTACAGTATTCCATAATAAAACAATGCTTTTGTAAAAAAAATTGGCTTTCAAAAACTGTTGTCAAAGATTAAGATTATGGAGAATCACATTTTGTGACATGATACTTCAGTTACTTCACACACAGAGAATTGTTATTTCCTTTTCATGTGAACTAAATGAAGCCACTTGAACAAAATTATGCACAGCATATTTTATCTCATTAAATAATTTCTAGATCTATAGATATTCAAATGAGACGTTCATTTTTCCTCCTCCTTTAAAACACTGCAATAAACTGTATTAAAAATCAGTTAAAATTTAAATTAGAAAAAAATACTTATATAAATATAATAAAAAGAAGAGCATGTAGGAGAGAAGAAATAAAAATATTTTATAAAATATTGGAATATCCCCACGCTCAAAAGTGAACAATGCTTGCAAAGGTACATTGATACTAACAGAAGGATTTTTCTTCTTTTAAAATCCCTGACACAATGGGAATACAATTTTTAAAAAGCAAATTTAAGCATCCAATTTGCAAGAGGTAGCCTATTAGAAGTGGGTATTTATATTACTTGCTAGCATAAAAAAGTACCTACATATCATGGATTATTAATTAGTCTATTTGGCCATTTTCCTCGCATCTGCAGAGTTAGTAGTTTTCGAACATACCGTATTTGCAATCATAAGCTATTATCTTTTACCTCTGAAATTCTTAGTATACTCAGTACAGAATTAATATATTATACAATTTTGACGATCAGATTATTCAATAATGAAAAAAAATCATTATGTGCAGACATTATAAATCAAGATAGATTTATATCTCAAGGATTCTTCCATATAAAGTCTCCTTCAATACATAGATGACAGGGTACTGGAAATTTTACTTTAATACAAAATAGGATGCATTTCTGGAATTACACTTTAGTTTTTCAAATCTATGAGCTAAATTGGTTCAGATGCAAAATTTAAAGAAATTATAAAAGATAATGTATTCATTTTTAACATTTCCCTAAGTACACAATAAATTAAATAGCAAAAAAGAAACACATGAAAGAATGAATGTGAGATAAAAGTAACTTAAATAATTTGTTTGGAATTTAAATGGTTTTCCTATAATAATCCATGAAATATTTCATATAACAATAGAAGGGTTTCACTTCTTTCTTTTAAACTATTATTTTTTACTTAAGTTTGGAAAGGATGTAAGCATTATTAATTACTTAAAAAAAACAATAGTGATGGCAGTTAAGAGCTTTTAGAGGACCATATCTAAGATACTGAAATATGCATGAGTTTCATTTAATTGAAAGCAGCTTTGTATGTTGCTTTGTTCCTCCCTTTACACTGAACCAGCCAGGTCTTTCTTTTACATTAAAATGAGGTAAAATGGTTAATTTTTCCAAAATAAAATAAAGAATAATAAGGAATGTTGCTTTAGTTGCTTTCCTGAAGACACAATTCCCATTGTGGAAATATGGTTAAGTTTGAATTCCTATTTGTGTATGTGAAGGGAAGGCAAAATGCATATGCATACTTTGGAATATTAAATTGAATGTTGATGATCTGAATACATATATTAGATGATCAAAGTATGTTGTAAGAATTAACCCCAAGTAGAAATACCTCTGAATCTCAGAAAGAAGACAGCTTTGCTCATTAATTAGAGGAGGCTGGAGAGATACTGTAAGTTTAGGAAAGAAGCTGAAACAGAGAAGCAGGACACTTAGGAATCTACTTGTAGCAGAGCTACTTACCAAACAAGAGCAATAAATTAGACATTTTCTAAAGTTAGTAAAGACAGAGGTTAAAAAACTAGGTCTATGGAGTTTACTTATTTTTTTGAAATATTCTATAAAGCCATTGTTTCATTGTTTCTTGCCAGCTACATAAAAATTATTTAGATACAGTAGAACCTTGGGTCGCAATCGTAATCTGTTCCAGGACTATGGTCACAACCTATTTGAAGCACGACCATCTGCGCATGTGCAGACAAAAAAAATGGCACCGAAGGGGAAATAGCTGCAGCAGGGAAAATTGCAGTGGCTGTGTCTAGTCACTACCTGAAGATGTGTTCGTGACCAGAAACAAAACTGCCAAAAATTCTGGTCATCACCAGATTTGGTTGCGAACAGAAGCATTCACGACCCGAAGTACCACTGTATTTACCCTAATAGAGTTAGAAACATTGACATGTGAAAATAAGGCACCAAGAGCAATGTCAAAGTGAAACAACAGTTATAAATGTTGAATTGTGATTGTGGTTTGTTTATGGAGTGCATATGTAACTTGTTTAGCATGTTTGTGAACAATGCATTTTTGTTGATCACAAGAATGCCACAAAAGGAAAGATAGCAAAATGAAAGCAGGATTATTGAGGAATCAGTTTGTTAAATGCATTTCAGAAAGCCTCTGCAGATTTCAATCAAAAGGCTAGGAAGGATGATAAGCAACAAAATTTGGGAAGTATGTTGTGACTTTTTTCCCAGGAAGACAGTTTAAAATAAAAACAGTTGATTGTAGATTTGCTGATATAAAATGCATATGACTGTTCAAACAGATTTGAGTGAATGATCTGAGGAACATTTTGTGCAAATATGGAGTTTAAATTTGATTGTTGAATGCATAAAAGATATATAGGTAGTTCTTATTTAACAACCACAATGGTTAAGTAAAACTATGATGTGCTTATGATCTTATTTCAGTTTTCTTTTACAAACCTCTAAGATCATAAATGCAAAGATAAATTATAAAGTTTAATTTTCATTAAATAAGGCAGTTGTTAAACAAGGACCATCAAGGACAATAACAAATGCATGAGAATGGAATATGTAACAAATGGGTCAACATTAACAGGAGTATTTTAACAATGGGTGAAGTCTTCTTGGTTCTTACTATATTTATGGATAGAGGCAAAAACAATGCTTGTATTGACATTAGACATTAGGTGTTCCACATGGATAAAGGAGGGAATAATGTCAAGTTATGTCTAAAAAGGAAGGGCTAAATTGTGTCCCTGGTCGTCACTGAAGATAGGAAATGATGAAGAAACGTTAAAGTATCAATGTTGGTAGAAAGATAATGGTTAGTTTATCACAAGGAATTAATGTTTCTTTAAAGAGACCAAATGACTATGTAGAAAGCTATCCTGCAAGGCTTTTCTTTTTAAATAAGGAACCAAGAGTTTGCTATGTTAATGCAAACATAATTGTAAATTGAATGTAATGGGAATAGAGAGTTTAAGAAGTGAATGTGGTAAAACAGGAAAAAAAGTAAAAAATGAATTGGCATGAGAATGGACCAAATACAAATATGAATGACCAGTATGGAAAAAAAAGATCACATAGGATCAAACTCAAAAATAAATATATGATGCAAGGAAGAATACTTCAAAAATGTGGAGGGATGAAAAAGAAAATTAAAATTACAAATTGGAGAGATAGTGTAATACTGAAAAAGAAAAACCACGTTCTGCATCTTGGCATACAAATCTGAGAAGGACCAATAGGGCAACTGTTCAAAAGACATCATGATATGCTTGAACGCCCATAATCTTCAATACTATCTTTCAAAACATCTTTCAATTTCTATTGCAATTATCAAATCAGCAAAATGCTTACAATCATGCTGAGGTTCAAATGATCTTACGATTTTTGCTTCATTTCAAGAGATACTGTTCAGGAGACGTAGCAACAGGAATCTTTTTAAAAGTATTTAACAATGCCAATTATTAGTACAGACAGGGTTATAAAAAATGGACTCTCCATTCAACAAGGAGCTTATGAACATTACAAATGGTGATTTTTCATGCAACACATGCTGATCATATTACCCCAAAAAGACAGCTTACTGTTCAAAAACGACAAAAGAAAGCTTCAAGCACCAGAAGCACCCAGAGGCAAAACCTGTAAAGTGTTACAGCAATATTAACTTTCAACAAGTTCACTGTGAAGGATTTACAAACACAGTTTAGAAATGTAATTCAATGTGACTTAGGTCATTTTCCTCTCACAAACAGCACAAAACACAGACAGACACACAGTCACAATCTAGCTCCTAAAAATAATGAATTTTAATTAAAAAATAAACACACCCATTCTGGAAAACTTATGCCTACAAACTTCGTATAAGTTGAAAAATCATTTGGCATTTTAAAATCTCAATCTATGATAGGAGAGTCATGGCATATGTCTATGCTTAATCCATTTTTTTTTTGGCAGTACAGCTATATATCTATGCTGTCTTACATTCCAACAGTTATTTCACTTATTTTCTTAGAGTGCAGAACATACATTGAAGCAATTTAATGATCCCTATAAAATAAATGAAAGGACTTGGCTTACTACAAAACCAGATCTCCCAATCTTTTATTTTATGCTCATTAACAAAATTAGCAGTATAGACTGCATGATAAAAATGTGGCTTTTATGATCTTTGCACAGAAGTTGAAGCTGGCAAGGCCCAGATGAAACTATGATTTAAAAAAAAAAAATCAAATACCCAGTTTCAAGACTGGGAACACACTGTCCAAATTTCCATTTATTCAAAAAGATGATAAAAAAGCCCTTGAAAAGACCCATATTTAGAGTTTGATGCCCATATTTCACAAGAGGCAGATCTGTATATAACATACATGAGTTCTGTCTTGCCTACACTGAAGCAACTTCAGTGAGTTTTTCCCTAAGCAAGTTTATGAATATAGTGATAGGTTCTTTTAATAAAGTTAAGTGGCTGTAGTGAAAGTAAAGCTAGATTTGAGTATTCCCAGGGAAATATTACACTTTGCCCTGTTTTCCCGCCCTCTGACTAGTTCATCAGTGTCCAATAGTATGTCTTTTTGATGTTTTGGGAACTTCTTGGATATTTGGCACCTCTCAACTCAGTTTAACATTTGGTTCCCACTACAGGTCTGGAAAGTTTTGGTT